AGGGCAAGAAGTTTATACTAGGAAAGAATTTTTTGCACTTTTGGTCCCATGCACGATTATGATATTACTAACAACTTTCATTCACGACTTTTAAAACTAGCTTGTAGAATTGGTCCACGACTATGACTTTCTTAGTAAATTTCGTCCTTTCGGTGAATTTTTCATTCAATTTTTGTCGGAAATTTTACTCTCCATTTTAACACGGGTAATATTGTCTTTTTCATCTTACAAACTAATGACATAAATTAATTAATTAATTAAACACAACTAGTGGTACGGTGATTGAAATTAAATGTCACCCAATTCCAATTCTACTTTCAGTTTCACCCTCTTCTCTAAACACCAAAATTTTTAGCTGTTTATTTATTTATTAGACGAAATGATCAAAAGACAATTTTGCCCCTCAAATTATAGACTAAATGAAGGATTAAGTTTTTCCGGTGAAATTTGGCCGGAGTGATCAAAATTGACAAAAATTACATAATTAAGGTACTAAATTGACACTTTTGAAAGTTAGGGACTGAAATTAACAAGACCCATATAATCGTATGACCAAAATTGAAATTTATTCTTTTATTAATTAATAGTACAAGTAATATTTTATCTTTTCCTTCCAATATTTGAAGTTGTGATTTTGGTGAAGTCCGTCTTGTGATCCTAACTGGTGAAGGATCAAAATGAGATAAATCAATCTAAAAATTGAACTTGGGATCTTATAGTTACCAAGCCATATATCTGTTCTATACTTTATGCCACACTATCGAGGTCGAACCTGTGATCACCCATTTAGAATGATAATTGGGATGCCATCACAATACAAGGTAATTTGAAAATAGTAATATATTTTAAAGTTAATTACCAATTTGGTATCTTGACTATAGCGAAATTACCGATTTGGTCCTTAACTTTGAAAATCTCAGCCATTTTTTTCATCTGTTTATCATCATACGACTCAAATTGACTATTATCCTACTGTTCAAATTGACGGGAAGACGAAATTAGATAATATTTTCAAAATTGAGAATTTAATTTGATAAAGATGATAGTCAATGATCAAATCGATAATCTCACAATAGTAAAGGGAGCAGATATGTCATTTAACTCTATATTTTATTATGGATACAATATAATATTATAAATGAATTTAAGTATTGTTTCGAAATTACACTTGTTTAATATCTATGGCGCCATATTTTAAAATTGTATAAAAAAAAAAAAATCTTAAAGAGTATTGGTTTTGTGGTATAGACGTGAGTATATAATTTAGACACCAAAAATAATATGGAGTGAATAATTAAATTTTAAAATTATAATAGTTGCAGGAAATGGATTGAAAGGAAACCGCCGCAAGGCAGAATACTTGGAGCACTGGGCGCTGAAGAACCCGGTTTTAGCCACCGACGAGTTGGCGTTCCAAATTGTGTTCGAATGGAGTGAAGATTTTGGGGTTCCGGGAGCATTCATCATCAAGAACAAACATCCCAATGAGTTCTTCCTCAAAACCCTAACCCTTGAAGATGTTCCCAATCATGGCGAAGTACATTTCGCTTGCTTCTCCTGGGTTTATCCGGCCAGTAAGTACAACTACGACCGCATCTTCTTTTCAAACCAGGTACGAACTTTTTCTGCATTTTTTTTTTGTTTGGAGTTGCCGTAATGTTCATCGGATTCGATGTTGATTTTCTTCATATTAGGTCAAATTTTGAATGGTATGCCGTTGCGATTAGCCTTAATTTTTTCATTTCTTTTAATAAATAGAAACTACCGTTTATTTATAGAACCTTCAAAATTAATTGATATCTGAGGAGCATGCATATGTGATTCATTGTTCGAATTGTTCAGTTTGGATACCAATATATATCTGTACTTTTTTCTAGTTTTATCTTTTGAATTATCATATACTCCGTATTCAAATTTGTGTTGAGGTGTGTGTTTAATGATTTCATTCAGTTTGATTAGGGTTTATCTTATTTGACTTCATGTCTTAATTCTTGTAGGCATATCTTCCAAGCCAAACACCTGACCTGTTGAAGACATATCGTGAGGAAGAATTACTGAACTTGAGAGGAACAGGAACTGGCGAGCGTAAGGAATGGGACAGGGTGTATGACTATGCCTACTACAATGACTTAGGTGATCCAGACAGAGGTGCAGAATATGCCCGGAAAATCTTGGGTGGAAACTCAGAGTATCCTTATCCTCGACGAGGAAGGACAGGCAGAGAACCAACAAAACATGGTAACATATACTCATAAATGTTTCCATCTTTTGATCAGATTTCATTAAGTACCTTGATTTGAAGTTCCATTATCGCCTTGGCAGATCCTAATTCTGAGAGCAGAATTCCACCGATTTTTAGCTTGGGCATTTATGTTCCGAGGGATGAGAAATTTGGACACCTGAAATTGGCAGATTTTCTTGCGTATGCATTCAAATCTGTTGGTCAGGTCCTTCTCTCTGGATTTGAGTCTCTGTTTGATTCCACCCCGACTGAGTTTGACAGCTTTCAAGATATACTTAAACTCTATATAGGAGGGATTAAGCTGCAGCCAATCGACATTCCCCTTGAGTTTCCTAAAGAACTTATCCGAAATGATGGGGAGGGACTCTTTAAATTCCCTACCCCACAGGTTATCGGAGGTAAGCTTTAGACCATTTCCTTATACTGCCCTTTTCTTTCTCCTATAAGGCTATAAATTTCTTACTTCCTAAACATGGATGATACAATAGAGGATAAGACTGCATGGAGAACGGATGAAGAATTTGGAAGAGAAATGTTGGCTGGAGTGAACCCTGTCGTCATCAGTCGCCTCCAAGTAAATTGACTTCACTAAATGATTTAAATTTCTTAGTGAAGGAAAATGAAACAAACGGAGTCTGAAGCTTAGGTTAAAGATTGATCCTTACGTTGTTTAATTTTATAAATGTAGGAGTTCCCACCAAAAAGCAAACTGGACCCCAAGGCTTATGGCGACCAAACCAGTACAATTACCAAAGAGCACATCCAGCAAAACTTAGATGGGCTTACAGTTGAGGAGGTAATTTCATTTTATTTGTTTCTTGCACTTATTTTGTACAATCAAATGGTAGTCTCTATCCATAAAATATTGAAACTATGTGATGCATTTTTACAGGCGATCGCGAATAACCGATTATTCATATTGAACCACCATGACACCCTTATGCCATATTTGAGGCGCATAAATACAACAAATAACAAGATATATGCCTCAAGAACCCTGCTTTTCTTGAACACAGATGGCACTTTGAAGCCTGTTGCAATTGAGCTCAGCTTGCCTCATCCACTTGGAGATAAATTTGGTGCTCATAGCAAAGTGTACACACCAGCTGAACAAGGGGTTGAAAATGGGTTGTGGCAATTGGCTAAAGCTTATGTTGCGGTGAATGATTCTGGTGTTCATCAGTTGATCAGCCACTGGTATACATACTACCTATTAAAAAAGAAGTTTGTTATTGGATCTATTAACCATTCTTTACATTTTATATTCTTAATGTTGAATGTCTATCACAGGCTGAACACACATGCAGTAATTGAGCCATTTGTGATAGCAACAAATAGGCAACTTAGCGTGCTTCACCCAATACATAAGCTTCTGCATCCCCATTTCCGTGACACAATGACTATCAATGCTTTGGCTAGACAGATCTTGATTAATGCTGGTGGAGTTCTTGAGAAAACAGTGTTTCCTGACAAATATGCAATGGAAATGTCTGCTGTAGTCTACAAGGACTGGGTTTTCCCTGATCAAGCACTCCCAACTGATCTTGTTAAGAGGTATGCGGTATGCCATGATTCCTGTATAAAGCATTGTCTTGTATCATTACCTTAACTTTGAATCCATAAACTCAATTAATGAATTGTAACAGAGAGGTTTCACTATTTACAATGATATGTCATTATGAAGCAACTAGTTGAACTTGTATTAGTTTTTCAACTTTGCTCTTAAGGCTTAACCAGTGTTGCAATATTTAGCAATATATGAGTCATATGACAGTTACACAATTTGATGTGTCAGAGGTGTGGCTGTTGAGGACCCAAGTTCCCCAAATGGTGTTCGCCTACTAATTCAAGACTATCCATTTGCTGTTGATGGGCTAGAAATATGGTCGTCCATCAAAACATGGGTACAAGACTACTGCAAGATCTATTACAAATCTGATGACGTGGTTCAGAAAGATACTGAACTCCAGGCCTGGTGGAAGGAGCTGAGAGAGCAAGGACATGGCGATTTGAAAGACAAGCCGTGGTGGCCAACAATGCAGACAGTCCAGGAGCTGATCGACTCATGTACCATTATTATCTGGATAGCCTCTGCTCTTCATGCTGCAGTCAACTTTGGTCAATACCCTTATGCTGGTTACCTCCCTAACCGCCCTACATTGAGCCGCAGATTCATGCCTGAGCCTGGAACAGATGACTATAAGGAGCTTGAGGCTGATCCAGATAAGGTTTTCCTCAAAACAATCACTGCTCAGTTGCAGACTCTCCTTGGTGTTTCCCTTATTGAAATTCTGTCAAGGCATGCTTCAGATGAGGTGTACCTAGGGAAAAGAGAGTTCCCGGAGTGGACAAACGACCAGGAAGCACTAGATGCATTTGCACAATTTGGAAGAAATCTCAGTAAAATCGAGGTCAACATAAAGCGAATGAACACTGTGGGAAAACTGAAAAACAGGACAGGGCCTGTGGAAGTGCCATACACCCTACTCTTCCCTACAAGTGAAGTTGGCCTCACTGGCAAAGGCATTCCCAACAGTGTTTCCATCTAAAGCTTCTCAGTTGAGTGTGATTTCATTTGGATGGTTGATATGTGTAGTGGTTTCGTATGAATAAATCTGCCTCCCGAAACCGTGTATGTTGGTGTGTGATTCATAATGTTATTAATAAATACCATCCCCTGAGTGAATAAAAATAAAAAATTATCTTTCGTAAGGTATATCACAAATTGCTATCCTATGCTTTATCTTATTGCTCAGACCCTAACCAATGCTGAATATCATGGGATGTTTCTTTATCTAATTTTTTGTTCTCTTTAGTTTTTGAACAAGTACGTTTAATTTATTAAATCAAGATGAGCTTAAACTGTTATGAAGTAATTGAAAATTATATAATTTATACTTCGACAAATATCGTTTTAAGAAAAAAAAATATACAATGTTGAATGATGTACCAGAGTTTAATTACATGCCGCCGCCACCAACAAAATAATAATAATAATAATAATAATAATAATAATAATAATAAAAGTAGGAATGGATGAATTAGGCAAATTATCGGTCCACACAGCTATGTCGAGCACGATCCAAAACGACATACTTTATGAGTTAGAATAATGTACTTTATGTGTGTGTGTGTTAGAATAATGAAACTTCTGGGATAAGATAATATACTTTATGATGAGTTAAAATAATGTACATTATAAGTTAAAAAATATATATTGTAGTGAGTCGTGTGAAAAAAATAAAAAATTACACAAAATGATATCGTTTTTGGACCGTGATCGACACAGTTGTGTGGACCACGGTCCACGCAATGACTTGTTTTCAGACTTTTAATAAATTGGCAAGAAACCAGCTAGTCGAAAAGAGTTACCAAATCTCATATATGAGAAAACCAACTTGTGTGATGCACTAGAAGGGAAAGCAAGTCAAGTCATTATTCAAAGCTAAGGCGCATCTTTCTTCAACTAGAGCACTCAACTTGTTACACATGGATTTGTTTAGAGCAGTTGATCCTCCAAGCATCAACGGGAAGAAATATACTATTGTAGTAGTAGATGACTACACAAAATATACGTGGGTCGTATTTCTGAACAAGAAGAGTGAAACTCTAAGGAATTGAAGCTACTAGAATTGTTGAAATTGTTTGAGAATGAGAAAGGTTCAACCGTAGAGAAGATCAGATCAAACAGAGTTTCAGAGTTTCTCAAAAAGGATGTGTTAGAAGTGAGTAGTGATGAGAATAGTGGGGGATGAGAAGGAAGAAAAAGAGGAGAAAAGTGAGCTCAAACCATTATCGGAGAACTTAGAATATGCCTATCTAGGGAGAATTCAACCCAACTGGTGGTCATATCATCGAGGTCAGAAAGGGACAAAAAGGAGAGGTTGGTAGAAGTGTTAGGGAGGAATAAAGGGGTCATTGGGTGGAAGCTAACCGACTTGAAGGGTATTAGTCCTACCATTTGTACCCATAAAATCTTATTAGATGAAGGATCTAAACCTATTGTTCAACCCCAATGGAGGCAAAATCCTAACACCTATGAGGTAGTAAAGAATGAAGTGGTTAAGATCCTAGATGTAGGTATGATCTATCTCATATCTGATAGTGCGTGGGTGAGCCCAACCGACCTTGTGCCGAAAAACAGGGGGATAATGGTTATGGAAAATGATAAGAATTAGCTAATTCCCACTAGGAAGGTCACAAGGTGGCAAGTGTGCATTGGCTATATGAGGCTTAATGAAGTGACTCGTAATAAGGATCATTTTCCGTTACCATTTGTTAACCAAATGGTAGAAAGTGTAAGTGGTCAGGACTTCTATTATTTCCTAGATGGGATGAGTGGGTACTTCTAAATTTTCGCAGTGCTAGAAGACCAAGAGAAAACAACATTTACATGTCTGTTTGGAACTTTCACGTACCAGTGTAAGCCATTTGGTTTGTTTAATGCGCCAGCTATGTTTATGCTGCGTATGATAGCGGTTTTCAAGGATTATATAGGGAAGTTCATGGACAATTTTACAATTTTCGGGGAAACTCTTGAGGATTGTCTAGAAAATTTAGAGAAGGTACTTAAATGTTGCCAAGAAGTAAATTTGGCACTTAGTTGGGAAAAGTACATGGTGGAGGACGGGATAGTGCTAGGCAAGTGTCAAGGAGAGGAATAAAGGTAGATAGAGCTAAGACCTCGGTTATAGAAAGCCTACTCCCACCCACATTCACGTTTCAACGCTTAGGAGCTTTTTAGGCCATGTCGGTTTTTATAGGAGCTTCATCAAAGATTATCCAATATTGCTAGGCCCTTGACCAAATTGCTGGAAAAGGATGTGGCGCTTGAGTTTAATGATGAGTTCTTAGTTGCATTTGAGACCCTTAAGAATAAGTTGGTGAGCGCCCCCGATACCTGTGAGGCCGGATTGGGGTCACCTTTTGAGGTTTTGTGTGATGCTAGTAATCATTCAGTAGAAGTGGTATTAGGACAAAAGAGGAATAAAGTCTATCAACCTATAGCATTTGCTAGTAAAACCCTTGATAAGGCCCAACAAAGCAACACCACCATTGAAAAAGAACACTTAGTCATAGTCTTTGCCTTAGATAAATTTAGACCCTATTTGTTGATGTCTAAGGTGGTAGTACATACGGATCATGCAACCATAAGATTCTTAATGTCAAAAACCGAGATTGATTAGATGGGTGTTACTTCAACAAAAGTTTGACTTGGAGATTAAAGATATGAAATGATCGAAGAATGGGGCAGCGGACAATCTATCTAGGCTTGAGGGATCAGAGCCCAAAGGAAAAGATGATGCAATTACCGAGAGGTTTTCGGAGGAAGGATTATTTAAGGTTATCAATGCTCCTTGGTACTCCGATATAGCAAATTATATAGTTGGAGGAGTAGTGCAAGTGCATTTGGATGCCCATGATAGGAGGAGACTTTTGGCCAAGACTAAACATTACTTTTGGGATGAAGTGTACTTATTTAGGGGGTGTGCGGATCAATACATACAAAGATCTATTCCGGAAGAGGAAGGTTTAGAAATTTTAGGCCAAAGACATGGTAGCCCTTTCAGGGGCCCGCATCATTCGGCGAATCAAACGGCTAGGAGGTATTGGAATCAAGATTTTATGTGCTTTCATCGTCTCGAGATGCTCAAGGTTGTGTGCGCAATTGTGATAGATGCCAAAGGGTAGGGAATGTCACTAATAGGGATGAGATGCCCCAACCTTTATCATAGCGTGTGAGATGTTTGATATTTGAGACCAGACTTTTTTGATCTTTTTTCTAGCTCTACGAGTTTCAAGTATATTTTGGTGGCTATAGACTATGTTTCATAATGGGTAGAGGTCGAAGCCTTAAAGACTAATTATGCTACGGGAGTGATTAGATTTGTCAAAAAGCTATTCTCAAGGTTTGGAGTGCTTAGGGTAATTATTAGTGATAGGGGAAGTCATTTTAGAAATTAAACATTCCTTTGGAAAAAGTGCTTGAGAGGTATGGTGTGCACCAAAGAGGAGGAATTCCATACCACCCTCAATCAAGTGGGTACGTTGAGAATGTCAACCGACACATCAAAGTGATTTTGGAGAAGACTGTGGTTAGACACCGAAAGGATTGAGAGGATCAATTGGATGATACCTTATGGGTGTTTCGTATGGCGTATAAGGCACCAATTGGAACAACACCTTTCTGCTTAGTATACGGGAAGTCATTCCATCTTTTGGTCGAGATCGAACATAATGCTTATTGGGCTATAAAACGGCTTAATAATGATTTGAATTTTGCAGGGCGTGAGCAGTTATGGCAATGGGATGAACTAGAGGAGTAGAGGATATTGGTGTATGAAAACTCCAAGGTTTACATGGAGAAAACCACAATGTACAATGATCACCACATTAAGAAGGGCAAAGAATTTCAATTGGGAGATCAAGTATTGTTATTCAATTCAAGGCTCAAACTCTTCCTTGGGAAACCATTCGAGGTAACAAAAGTATAACCCTATGGAAGATTGGAAATTGCACATTTGGAGACCGTTGCATTGTGCAAGTTAGACGATTAAGTTAAAGGAAATTACGTCAGGCTAAAGTCATTAAACGTGACACTTCTTGGGAGGCAACCCAATGCATCATTTTATACTTTGTTCGTTTGATCAATTTTGATGGTGTGAAGTTGCAGGTCATCCCCAAAAACCAAACCAACCAAATAGAAGAATCAAAGCATGGAGAAGGACGGGCACACCATGTACGACCAGGAGTACGCCTGTACGTGCTTGTCGTAAGCCCCTTTCAGGAACAATAGGCCCCAATTCAGCCAACTCCTTCAATTAACAGTGTACTGCACTGTGGTTACACACTCCCAAAGAAAGCTAATGAATTTAGAAGAAAATCCCAACTATTACAAAATAGCTTTTAAAAGATCTCATCCACCCGATCGTAAGCTTTGCTCATGTCAAGCTTTAGGCCAACATAACCCACCTTTCCTTGCATCTTCCTGTTGAGGTAGCGTTGCGTTTCAAAAACTACTAGAATACTGTGTGATTAACCTGCCTAGAATGAAGGCACTTTGATTTTCATATATGACGAGTGTTCCTAGCAGAGATTCGATTCTACTCCCTCCGTCCCGAATTGGTTGTCTCATTTGCTTTTTGCACGCTTTTTAAGGAATTAAAGTAAATGCTATGTATTTTCCAATTATGCCCTTCACTTTTTCACTTTTGGAAATAAAAGCAAAAGTCATAAGGGTAATTTGGGAAAAAGTAGAATGATGGTGATGTTCAATTTTAGAAAGAGGACAACATTTTGGGACAAACTAAAAAGGAAAGTAAGACATGCAAAATGGGACAGAGGGAGTATTAGCTAAGGGCTATAAGTCTAAGATCGCCATTGTCTCTGATTTGGAAATCTTTAGTATTAGAACAATCTGTGTTTGATTCCAACCCTTTGGGAATTTCCCTGGAGAAAGTCTTCACAAAATTAAATTTCTCAATTTCACTCACTAGGATATCCCAAAAAGTGTTGAAAGAAACCAGGGCGGATGCTCATCTGGTCTTGGCTTTTCTGGTTTCATATAAAAAAAGGACTGCCTTATTAACTTCTTCATTCGTTACCCTCTTAACTAATAGGCTGTTTTGAACTTATGAGATTTTCCCAAACAGGCATTCAATCACTGTATTAACATCTGTCGGACAAGATTTGAAAACCTCTTTAAAATGTTAGTGTTAGAATCATCTTGAAAAGATGAGTCAATGATTTTGCGCAAATTATATCGTGCACCGCGGTGCATGATCGATCATGCACCGCGCATCAAAACGACGTCGTTTAGTTTAATGAAAAGAAATGGTATTCATTTCCCGCCGTTTCACACCTTTCCGCAAAAAGTAACTCTGTTATTCAGTTTCATTTTGTATACACTGCAGTGTCAGTTCAACACAACTACAGTTTCACTTCGATATAACTACAGTTTCATTCGATATTTATAGAGTCAAATATGTGAAAATGTTATTTAACTTTATTTTATATACACTATAGTTTTATTAAAAAACAACTACATGATCATTTTGATATAATTACAGCTTCATTGTACAATATACACTCAAATATGTGAAATGTTATTCAGTTTCATTTTATATACACTGCAGTTTCACTTCACCACAACTACAGTATCATTTTGATATAACTGCAGTTTCATTTGTCGTGAAGTATTGTCGGTTTAGATATACGTACTGTAGTGTCAATTGGTGTTTAATACACCAAATATGTGGACTCCATTAACGGTAACGGCGGACCGTTTCTTTACTTAAAGAAACGACGCCGTTTTTTACCGTGGTGCACATGCACCGCGGTCTGCGATATAACGAATGATGATTTTGATTAAAAGTTCTTCCAAAAGGCTGAACCCCAACCCTAAAGACTCCCCACACCCCGACCCGACAAAGCATTTTGAATAAAAGTTATATGATCTAAATTTCTTTTGTAGATATTTTTACAACTTTTATTAAGCAACTGAAGCAAAAACAAGATAGGAGGGGGACAAGATCAAACCCCTCAACAAGTGGACACAACCCCGACAAAGGCAAATTATACCATGGACCAGGGTCTATCTTGTATTGTAGACCCTGTTTCAAAAATAATCTTCAGACTGTATTTATAGTTGACACATTCTGTACATGCAGTTAATAGTTTTTGTACTTGTAGTCAATGTTACAAAAAACGTTAGGCGCCCCCTAGGCGGCAAGGGGGCGCCTAGGCGCCGATTTTTTTTTAATTAAAAATAAAATTAAAAATTAATTTTTTTTAAAATTTAGTAATAAAACATAAGATTTTCATAGTTATTTCTTAAAAATTATTTACGAAAGTGGTTGTAAAAGTGTTCAAAAGATTGTTTAAACCATCTAAATACATAAAAAATTAAAAGTAAGAGTTAAAAGAAGCATTTTTTTGAGAAATTAGTGGATCAATTACGCGATTTGAAAAAAAAAATTGTCCAAAACGGACAACCAAGTCAAAAGTTATGACTTCCCGAACTTTTTCCAATTTAAAACGCAAAAAAAATAAAAATAAATAAATAAATAAAAAATAAAGCGCCGGTTCAGCCGGCTAGGCGGTCTAGGCGGCAGTCTAGACCGCCTAACCGGCCGGCCGTGGAGGAAGCCGATTCCGACCTTCTTCGCGGTGGCGGCCGGGCGCGATTTTTGCAACCATGCTTGTAGCTATCATATATGTGTTTATAGTTGACACATTCTGTACTTGCACTTGATAGTTTCTCATATTATGTGTCAACAATATCAAGTTATTTGTTTATATGTACAGAAACTGTTATACAAAATGTATTAATTGAAGGTATAAAATTTTTGTATCATGTTCAAATGCAATGAATAGGAGAAAGCAAATCAACTAAAATTATAAGAACATTATTGACAAGACCGCCCCAAACCGTAAGACTATCCATTGTCAAGACCAACAAGCAGATCCGTCACCTCGTTCGACCGCAAATCATTATCATCCTCCGAATGCCCATACATTTCATCGTCCAATTCAGACTTAGACTGAGAAATCACCCTCGACCTTTGAATCCCTTCAAGCTCTCGGTCCTGTCTAGGAGTTCTAAACAATAAGGTCCTTTTAGCACTACTCCTAGCTCGACTAGAGCAGGGAACAAGGTTGCTAAAAGGAGTAGGGAAGCTAGAAGGGGTAGCATTTGAATCAATAGTGGAGGAAAAGTTTGGAGATTTATGGTCAAATACTAGCCCAACTCTGTCTTCTGGCAAAGTATTTTGGTTAAGATCAATGGTGGTAGAGTTAGATGGACTTTGGGTTTGAACATTCTCAGTTGAATCTGCCCTGTGACCCTTTCTCCTCATGGACCTCGTTTGAACACCAAAACCCAAACCCAAACCAACAGGTTTAAGCCTTCTTTTTTTACTTTGTTTATGCGTAACGTTCTTTGCTTCAACACCACCAACTGGACAAGATTCTGGCGAGAAAGACCCAGAAATTTCACCACTTTCTTTCCTCCTATCACTCCCAGATTTGCACGACGTAAAAAGGTGACCAAACTTGAAACATTTGGAGCAAAAAGATGGAACGTTTTCATACTCTAATCTTTGCCAAAACCCATCCTCTGGATCAACCCCTTCATCGGCGAACCCAACCCAAATCTTATCAACTAAAGGCTTCAACAAATCCAGTTCCAGTTTCACCCTGGCAACACTCGGCCTCGTTCTTCCAGCCGTAGCGGAATCCAAAGCCAGCAGTTTCCCCACCGGCCTACACAGATGCTTCAGGCTGTTGGGGTCGAAGAGATGATACGGTAGCCCCGGGAGCGACACCCACGCCGCCGCAAGCGGCGGCGAATCCTTCCGCGTGCTCCAGTCCGGCGACCACCGAGTCAGGCGCATTGGTTTTCCGGCGACTATCGCGAGCCCCTTCGCCAACACCTTCTCACAATCGTCCTCCCTCGAGAACCTAATCAGAATGTGGCGGAGATCCAGTGATCCGACTTGAGCAGAGCCTGTGAGTGTAAAAGTTGATGGGAATTTCTCGCGGATTGACTCTAATGAAGGCCGACGACCCTTGGAGAACTTGCCAACCAAGGTCACTCGTTCTTCAATTTCTGCAAGTCTTCCCCATTCATCTTTGAAAAATCTCACCGCCGGCTTACCCTGATGGAATGAAATTATCACACACAATATTTAAAGTGCACAGGATCAAGATTCATGTTTTTTGCATGCATTTATATTTGCACAAAGAGAGGTGCCCTAGAAAAGAAAGAAAGAAAGAAAGAAAATAAAAGAGACTAACCTTTGTGAGAAAGTAGGTTGGGTACGACCAAGTTTTGGTTCCTAAGAAGTGTTGTTCAATACTTATTTTGTTTTGAGTCATTTGCAAGGTGATTTGAATTCGTTGTTGGTTAATTTCTTATATCATGTTCTTGGTGGCATTTGTTGAGATTTTGAATCATGTTTTGATGGAATCGCTTCAAACTTTCATTCAAAGAGAAAAGATTCACACTGTTTCATTGAGAAAGAAAACTCACACTGCTTACATCAACATTCTGCTATATGTATCTATTACAAGAGAAAGAAGATTTTAGGGAAGCCTAAAACGGTGGGCAAAACCACTTCTTAACTAATTAACTAACTAAGCCGGAAATTACACAAAAGACCTTTGACTTAGAAAGTCAAGGCTGGGCTTCCTTGAGGACTAACTGCTGCTTAACTGTTTGGCAAGGGTCCATGGTGGCATTGTGGACCTCAGCATATAGAAGACTTCATCACCCCCCTTAAGCTGGAGAGTGAAGATCCTGAAGTCCTAGCTTAGAGTGAAACACCTCAAATAGAGAAATAGAGAAATAGGAAAAGCCTTTGTGAATCCATCAACCACCTGATTTTGTGAGGAGATGTTCATCAGTTTAACCACTCCCTCATGCACCTTCTGTCTCACAATGTGACAATCAATTTCTATGTGCTTAGTACGCTCATGAAAAACATGGTTTTCTCCAATGGCTACTGCAGAATTGTTGTCACAGAACAAAAGAACAGCTGATTTGCTAGCAATCTTCAAATCTGTGAGCAGGTATATTAACCACTGGATCTCACATACAGTAGAGGCAAGGGCTCTATACTCTGCTTCAGAAGAGGACTTAGAGACTGTTGCCTGCTTCTTTGTCTTCCAAGAGATCAGGGAACTTCCAAGAAAAATGCAGAAACCTGTTATAGATTTTCTTGTCTCAGCACATGTTGCCCAATCTGAGTCTGAAAAGGCTTGAAGTTTAATCTCAGTGTTAGAGGGATAGAACAACCCTTTGCCAGGTGAATTCTTCAGGTACCTCAGCACTCTATGTGCTGCTACTAGATGTTGATCTCTAGGCTTATCAACATATTGACTTAACTGCTGGACAGGGTAAGAGATATCAGGCCTGGTATTAGTTAAGTACAGCAACTTCCCCACTAGTCTTCTGTAAGGCTCAGGGTCTTTAAGCAGAATTCCCTCAGTATTGTTAAGTCTTGTTCCTGGAGTGCAAGGAGTTTTGACTGGCTTAGCATCTATGAACCCATTCTTCTGTAGGATCTCCATAGTATATTTTCTTTGGGATAGGTTGATGCCCTCTGGAGTTCTAAATGCCTCAATTCCCAAGAAGTAATTTAACCTCCCAAGATCCTTGATCTTGTAAAGAGTATCCAGCATTCTTTTCAAGTGTGTTATTTGACTTGAATCTGTCCCTGCCACAATTATATCATCAACATATACCAATAAGGTAGTAAAAGAACCATTTGAAGTTTGGTGAATAAGGAAGGATCTGCTTGGGACTGCTGGAATCCATCTGCTTTTAGAGACTTAGTAAGTTTGGCATTCCACTGCCTACTAGCCTGTTTCAATCCATACAAGGACTTTAGCAACTTGCACACTTGACCAGGCCTATTACTCTTGAACCCTGGGGGTGGAATCATATAGACTTCTTCATCCAAGTCACCATGTAAGAAAGCATTGTTGATGTCAAGCTGCTGAATATCCCACCCCTTAGCAATTGCCACAGCTAGAAAGGCTTTGATGGTTGTCATTCTGGCCACAGGAGAAAATGTCTCCATGTAATCCACTCCCATTTGCTGAGTGTAACCTTTTGCAACTAATCTAGCTTTGCACCTCTCTATGCTTCCATCTGCTTTGTGTTTTACTTTGTAGACCCATCTACACCCAATGGGTGTTTTTCCTTTTGGCAATTCAGTCATAACCCAAGTATTAGTCTGAGTCAATGCATCCATCTCAGCCTGCATAGCTTCCTTCCATTCAATGTGTTGGACTGCCTCTTGATAAGACTGTGGTTCATTAACAGAGGTAATATAGGCAACACAAAGCTTATGGTGAGAAGACAATTTATTATGAGAAATAAAATTCTCTATGGGGTGGGGGGAGGACCTCTGTCCAACTGTATCCCTTGTCATAAGCTGACAATAATAGTCACTCAATCTATGAGGGACAGCCCTTGATCTTGTTGACCTTCTGGGAGGATGATGATTCTGAGGGACATGAATGCCATCACCTGAATCATGAGACTCTTCACTGTTTAATTCTGCAGTGTCAGTAGATATATGGCTCCCAGAGCCAACATTGTTCATTACCTCTTCATTAGAGACATCATCATGTTTGGGAACATAAGGGCATATGTCTTCTGTCACACTTCTGGAAACCATAGGGGTATTTGAATATTGCAGAGGGATCCCTTCTGTCTGTTCCTCAATGGACACTGGAATCAAGGGTAAGGAGGGATTGAGTTCTCCATCTGTGGAATTGATGGGCCTGGTGGTTTCTTGATTTCTGAAAGGGAAGACTTTCTCATAGAACTTGACATTTCTGGAAACAAAAACAACACCATCAGCAAGATCATACAATATATACCCTTTCACATTGGCTGGGAACCCCAGAAAAATAGACTTTCTGGCCCTTGATTCCATTTTACTCCTTCCCTGAGAGATGGTGGCACCAAAACAAAGGCATCCAAAACTCCTTAACTGTTGATAATCTGTTTTCCTTCTAGTGAGCAATTTCAGAGGGGAACATCCACCAAGAACATCAGTGGGCAGCCTATTGATAAGAAAGGAAGCATGTAGGACACAATGTCCCCAAAATTCCAAGGGTAATCCAGACTGGAATCTCAAGCATCTAGCTATGTTCAGAATGTGTTGATGTTTTCTCTCTACTATCCCATTTTGCTGAGGGGTATATGCACAAGACTTCTGATGGATTATCCCTTTTTCATTATAAAAGGAGTTCATCAAGAACTCAGTCCCATTGTCAGTTCTAATTTTCTTGATTTTGGCTGAAAATTGAGTGCTGACATAATTATAGAATGTCTGGAAGATAGTCTTGACCTCTGACTTATATCTCATCATATGCAACCAAGTAAACCTACTGTGGTCATCTACTATAGTTAAGAAGTAGTGCTCCCCTTTGAGGGATGCCACACTGAAAGGCCCCCAAACATCCATATGGAGCAATTCAAAACATTTCTCAGCTCTAGATGTACTGACAGGAAAGGGTGATTTTTTATGCTTGGCAAAGTGACAAGAGTCACATATGAAATCTTTTTGTTGCTGCAAAGAATTGAAACTGATTTCATTCAAAAAAGGGATTTTATTAATGGGATAATGCCCTAGTCTATAGTGCCACAACTCAGCAGACACACTATTACATTGGAAATCATTTCTATCCAAGGACTGGGCTTGTTTCTCAACAGGAGGGGTTTGCAACAGGTACAATCCATCCTTCTCCTTAGCAAAACCAGCCATTGTTCCAAGATGTCCCTGAATGGCACAACACTCAGCATCCATTATCAGCTTGCACCCTGATTGCTTAGCCAACTGACTGACAGAGACAATATTGAAAGCAAAAGAGGGAATATATAACACATTCTTCAACAACAAATCTTCATTTATCTTAACTTCTCCTATGTGGGTAACACTCACAATTTCTCCATTTGGGAGCTTGACAGATATCCCATCTACCTTGCAATATTTATCAAAAAACTGTATGGAGCATAAAATGTGGTCTGTGGCCCCAGAGTCTAGAATCCAGACCAGATGAGTGTTCAAAACAGTATTGACATAAGCATTAGAGAGGTAGGTACCTTGAGGATGCCCTTGCAAGGATTCCTTAAAGTCAGATGTGATCCCTGGTTGTGAAATAGCAACTGCAGCATTACTAGCAGGACCACCATGATTCTGATTTTGGAGTAGACTCAGCAGTTTCTGAAATTGGTCATTGGAGAGCCCAGTGTCAGCAACTTGATTCACAGAAGAATTAGATGATTGTTGCACATCTTGAAGCTGTTTTCCGTTAGATTTGTACCCTGGGACCCATCCAGGGGGATACCCATTCTTTTTGTAACACTTTTCAACAGTATGACCATTCATCCCACAGTAAGTACATTTGGGAATGTTCTTTCCTCCAATGTTTGGGAATTTCTTCTTGTTACTGAAGGCTGCTGCTGCTACTACAGATTGATCTTCATCAGATTGGTCCTGAATGTTACTCATAGCATTGGCCTGAACGAATTCAGTTGCTTTTTGGGCAATAGTCCCTCTGATATTTCTTTCAACTTTGAGTGTCATATTCAAAACCCTTTCCATGTCTGGGATGGGGTCCATAACAAGAACCCCAGACTTAATCGTTTCATATTCTTCATTCAACCCCTCTAAGAACCTGATTATCTGGTCCTCTTCTCTCTGCTTTTGCATTCTACTCACCAAGGTGCAAGAGCACCTGGGAACACACTCACAAAGGAGTAAAGGCCTTAAGGCATTCATCTGCTGCCACAAGGCATTGCTTCTAGTGAAATATTCATTGATACTCATTCTACCCTGAACATTCTTGAATATCTGATTTTGAATTTCGGAAATTTTATGGGGGTCTGACTGAGAGTACCTCTTTTGCAGGGAATTCCAGATGTCGGAGGCTTTGTCAAAATACATTATGCTCTCCGCAATGCTTGGGCTAACGGATTTCAAAATCCAGGAGCAAACTATTCGATTGCACATCATCCATGTTCCGATTCTTGGATCTGTGGCTTCCGAGATTGGAACTGTTCCATTAACAAAAACGAATTTGTTTTTGACTTCCAGCGCCATTCTCATCGATCTGCTCCAAGACGAGTAATTTGTCTCATTGAGAGGAGGAGATACGAGACTGAGATTGGGGTTTTCGGTGACGTGAAGGTAGAAGGGGTCGTCGAATTCGTCGTTGCGCTGATTGACGGGAGTCTGCATCGGAATTTGACTGGTCTGTGCTCCGGCGTGTTCTGACTGACCGGAATTGCCATTTCCGTTTGTCTCCATTACAACTGCGGCGGCGTAGCTTCTTGCCCGCTCTGATACCATGATGGAATCGCTTCAAACTTTCATTCAAAGAGAAAAGATTCACACTGTTTCATTGAGAAAGAAAACTCACACTGCTTACATCAACATTCTGCTATATGTATCTATTACAAGAGGAAGAAGATTTTAGGGAAGCCTAAAACGGTGGGCAAAACCACTTCTTAACTAATTAACTAACTAAGCCGGAAATTACACAAAAGACCTTTGACTTAGAAATTCAAGGCTGGGCTTCCTTGAGGACTAACTGCTGCTTAACTGTTTGGCAAGGGTCCATGGTGGCATTGTGGACCTCAGCATATAGAAGACTTCATCATGTTTTACTTCTCGTTGCTTGAGAATAAGAAGGGTAAAGGGTGGGGAGATTTGATCAGTGTTGTTTTATATTGGTTTTACCTACTATTTTGTGTTTTAAATGATTAATTCGTTATTGATAAGTTTAGCATGATTTTACTCTTATTAGGTTGTTTTTGGTGGGTAGGTGATGATAATTTAGCATTTGTGAATTGAGCTTGAAAGTGGGACATATGGTGAGATTTAGGGTCATTTTAGGCAAATGGAGACACAAGGATGCGTCATGGCATGGAATACCAAGGGAGTATGATCAGGAAGCCTACAATTGGTCATGATCATGATCACGCTTAGACGGTTCGGTTCAAACAGGAGGTTCGAATCGTAATCGGTACTGTGCTAACCGAATCAGAACTCTAAAGTTCCGGTTCCGAGGGACCTGGAAGAGGAGAAGAAGAATGATAATGAAGAGGGTAAGCTTCCTAAGCTTCCAGAGAATGATAATGAGTTCTTGCTGAGTGGAGCCCAGATACGACTTTCTTCTAAATAAATGGAAGATGGGGCAAATGTCAGAGAAAATTTGGAGCCGAAACCGTCGGTTCCGGTTTAGAACCGTGAAATTTAAAAATAAAAAATAAAAAAATTAAAGCAAGCTAAACTGCCAAAGTTCGGTAGTTTTCAAAAAAATAAAATAAAATGGCCAGTGGCCTACTGGCCACTTTCGCCACGTGCAGCGCCAATAAACAACATACCATATAATTTATAACAAAAAAAAAAAATCACGGTTAAAACCCGCGGTTCTAACCGAAACTGCCAGTTCGTCCATTTTCAGAATTGGAACCGGCGGTTTCGAATCAGAACCGAACTGGAACCGAAATCGTGATCATGCCTAATCACGCTATGATATTAAGCTTGGAAAGGCATGTAGTTTTTGAAGTTGGGTTTCACACTGACACTTATAAAATCGACACCAATTAATCGGCGCCTAGGCACTAGGTGCTGGCCGACGGCTTAGCGTATCACCATAATCGGTAGTTTAGGTGGCCGACTAGGCCTCCTAGGCATCGATTAGCTAGGCCACCTAGTCTGCCAATTAACTATTGTTTCATTTTTTTTTTTGAATGAGTTATTTCACTCAAAACGACATCGTTTTGAGCAAAATAACCTTAAATTGTTCTACTCTAAATGTTTTTAGATTAATATTTAATATTTTATTATTAACTATTAAAGTATTAAATAATTTATAATTATCAAGTTTTAAAATAAATTAAACAATTTTTAATAATTTTTTAAAAATAAATAATAAAATAAGAAATTACACGGACGCCTAGGCGTCGAATACTCGTCCCTAGGCGCCTCCCAAGTATTAACGCCTAGCGATTGTTTTAATTATGGTTGGACATCGCCCGCATGGGTAGCTCAACTGGTCATAGAGGTGAAACTTTGGAAGAATGACCAGGGATCAAGTCTCACCAGCGGCAGTGTGGGAGCAACCTCTCAAAGTGAGGGGGACTCCTTGCGCGCAGTGAGCACCGGTCTAGCCTTTGTGGCCCTTAGGATTGGGGTTCAACTTTTTGGAAGAATTATGGTTGGACATCATGTTGATGGTCACGAGCGTAACCGTCAATCTGATCATGGGAATCTGACAGTTGAAGCAAGTTGTCACAATCCATGTCACAAACGTGACTGTTATCGTGAACATTGGACCACTGCCTAGCGAACAACAAAAATACATACTTTCACTAAAACTACACTTCATAAATAAATCAATATTATTATTTATTTATTTATTGTATGCATGAGTGAGATCAAAGTAATAAAGGATGTTAGTATGAAAAGAGAGAATGAACTAATCACACATCCATCCCATTTAGTCAATGGTGCTTGATGCACATGAAAAAGGCATTATCATAATGTGAATGTGCAGAACATTCCATGAGGACCATGACTAACAAAATAACAAATTATCTAAGTCAATGCTGTTAATTTGAGGAGATTGAAAAATTGTAAAACAGATGAGTTTCAAAAAAAAAAATTGACATATTTATAAATAATTAAGAAATGAGCATATTTGAGTATACTAAAGTGAAAACGTATAATATAAGTGAATGTCCAACACAATAATGAAGATAACAAATATAGTTACAAAAGTGTAACGTGGCAATGTAAAATGCACAATGTGTATTGAAATCATATATATATATATATATATATATATATATATATATATATATATATGAGTTCCACTATCGATGCAAAAAATGTTTACAAAACCATGCTAATTGATATGTTAAATACAGTCATAAAATTGTACGTTAATGTAGAAATGTAAAAGTGCAATATGTATAATAAAATGTGTATATATAAATTTAAAAGTTCACTTTTTGTAATTGAAAATGTATAATATATACAAATTAAAACAAATACAAGGCTCTTCGCCAAAGTGCACTATTATAATGGTAAAAGTCTATAGTCAAGTAAAGTAAAACATTTTAATTTTGAAAGTGCACCATTTGATAAAAGCCAACAATGTTCTAACAATGCTAAAATGAAGAATTCATGAAGGTAATATATAGTGCATTAACTATAACTGTTTGGTCAGACATAATAGATGGCTACAATTAAATTTGTTCTCACTTTTACATCACTATCAATTATCACTTGATCTATTTCCCACATTCACAGATATATGTATGTAAGTATGTATGCATGTATGTTTTCTAGGGTAAAAAAAAAAAGATGACTATATATAGTAAATTTGCAAAATTATATTCATATTGATGAAAAAAGTAAATAAAATACGAGGTAAAAAAAAAATGACACTTTGGTCCTAAGTTATGACCATGGTATAGATTTAGCCCCTCAATTATTTAGAATGTTAATCTAGTTCCTCAGTAGATATTAAAGTGACAAATTTTGTCCTTGAGAGGTTATATTCACCACTTCATTAAGTGGTATCTGACACTATGCCACCTTAATAATAACTAGCTAGAGAACTATATTGATATACATCTCGAATAACTAAAAGACTAAATTTCACTATGGTCATAAGTAAGGAGTAAAATGTGTCATTTCGTTAAGAGATATTACCTTGTGTCTTAGAAGCACTTCGTTAATCTCATTGGGGCAACATGGCCTAATTCTCTCACTTGGATTGTCCGATGATTCAAAATAAACAATTTCTCTTCCCATTTCTCGTATTAAAGTGTGCATATGTAAACAATCATATTCATCTATGATTATCAAGGACTTGTCAATCAAATCTTCAATTTCAATTGTTGGGAAGCACCTAGGGACCTCATCATATTTGCTAATAACCTTTTGTTTGTGAATTCCTTCTGGAAGATGACAAGCAAGATCAAGGAAGATATCCTTTGCAAATTTACTGGAAAGTCCATCGAAGCTTATTTTAAGTTTTGTGTGAACCTCATTATTAGGAATTGTCATCAATCTCTCGATAGCACTTCTCCAATCTTCATTCTTTTTGTTAGATAGATGAACCCCCAACACTTGAAGAGCTAAGGGAAGTCCTTCACAATAACTTACTATCTCTTTTGATAGCTTACTGTAATGTTCTGGAGGTTCGGGTATTTTAAAGGCATGTTGGCTAAAGAGTCTCAAAGAATTCTCATTGTTCAATTCTTTGACCATATACCATCCTTCCACTTTCAAATCTTTTAATATATGTTTGTCTCTAGTAGTTAAAATAACTCTAGTTCCTGCACCAAACCAATTCCGTTCTCCAGCTAAAGCATCTAGTTGACCAAGATGGTCCAAATCATCAAGCACAATGAGAGATTTTCTTGCTCGAAGCCTCTCTTTGATCAACATGATTCCCTCATCAACATTGTGCACTTTGATCTTCGACTGTAGTAGCTTATTAAGAAGTTCTTGTTGTAGTGCACTTCGCCCATCACTATGTTGATATGAAACTTTTGATCTTATTTCAAGAAAGCAACTACTGTCAAAGTGTTCAAAAACATGGTTATAAACTGCTTTGACAAGTGTTGTTTTTCCGATACCTCCCATTCCATAAATTCCTATGAACTGAACATCATCATTAATATCTCTATGCATTAATCGGACAATGTCTTCAATGCGGGAGTCAAGTCCTACGGGATACTTGGCAACAAACATTGGTACTTGCTCTAGAAGTGACAATACCTCTTTGATAATTTTATTGATAAACTTCGATTCATACCTTTAAATATTCAAATGGAAAATTGAAGCATCATAAATATGTTTTGCAAATATATCAAACACATAATAAAATATCCTAACTATAACCCAAATTGCTAAATCGCCCACTTTTATACTATAAGCTAATTTTGACACATTGAATTTTAACATGTTTTTACATCAAGAATAATGTAATATATGATCATACCTATTGAAGCACAAAAAATCAATATCGCCCCACTGAAACTCGAACCTACTATACGACCTCCCAATTAAAAAACACACTTAGTGTCACTAGACCACAAGGTCATTGGCTGAGACAAATGAGATTTTATTTATCCTAGACTAATAATCTTGTAATAGTAAATATATCATATTTGCATTTTAATCTTAGGTCCATTTTGAAACTCAAAACATGACTTTTGAAAGTAATTTATTAGATATTTCAGTATTTGATTATCCAAAGAAAATGATGTCAATGAAAAATACATAGTATGATCAAAAGAAAAAAGGCTCATTTTGACGAAAAATAATTTTCAAGATTTTTTATTCTGGAAGACATTTTCTAAATTGCTAGAGAAATAAGAACCACTCAGAGTCGTCCACATGTACAAATCAACGAATCAGATGTAATTTTAAAAAACAACGCGGTGACATTTTCATAAATAATTCGAACGTTAATGAGGTGTATTTAATTTGATTTTATTATTATTTTGGGGTTTTTTTTGCATGTTTTTGGGTAGTATTTTAAGAAAATGTGGTTTCTCTTTCTGCTGGCAAATTCCATTTATTTTGTTTCTTGATTCGCGATTTTGCTCTGCCATTTTGATTTCAACAACTTCATCTGTTTCGAGTAATTTTAATGTTTTTTCCTTGTACTACGTTTGTTGTGAGATTGTTCACGGTCTTTTTTTTTTGCTCGTCTTGCTGGTAACATTGTGTTCTTCATTCTACTTCTCGGGCCCCTTGTGCATTGTTGGCTTTCGCTTTGTGCGACACAGTTGGTTTGAGGACCGGCTCCTAGGGTTTTCAGCGCCTCCACCTGTTCTTTCACGCTTAAACATCGGCGATCATGACCTCTAGGCGTCACAAACTGTTCATGATGGTGTGCGTTTGGGTTGGGGTATGGTGTGCTTTTGGATGGTGACCATGCGAATAGGAGGTGTTTTCTGTGCAACTAGTGTGTTTGGGGTGGGAGTGATTCTCTGTTTGGGAAAAGTATAGTGTGCGTTTGGGTAGAGTATGGTGTGCGTTTGGGTGGTGACCATGCGAACAAGAGGTGTTTTCTGTGCAACTAGCGTGTTTGGGGTGGGAGTGATTCTCCGATTGGGAAAAGTATAGTGTGCGTTTGGGTAGAGTATGGAGTGTGTCACAAACTGATCGTGATGGTGTATGTTTGGGTGGGGTATGGTGTGCGTTTGGGTGGTGACCGTGCGAACAGGTGGTGTTTTCTGTGCAACTGGTGTGTTTAGGATGTGAGTGATTCTCGTTTGGGAAAAGTATAGTGTGCGTTTCGGGTAGAGTATGGTGTGCGTTTGGGTGGTGATTGTGCGAACAGGTAGTGTTTTCTGTGCATCTGGTGTGTTCGGGGTGGGAGTGAGTCTGCATTTGGGAAAAAGTATGATGTGTATTTTGGTAGAGTGTGGTGTGCGTTTGGGTGGTGACTGTGCGAACAGGTAGTTTTTCCTATGCATCTAGTGTGTTTGGGGGGTAGGGGGTGTCTGTGTTTGGGGAAAGTATGGTGTGCGTTTGGTTACAGTGTGGTGTGCATTTGGGTGGTGACCATGCGAACATGAGGTATTTCCTATGCAATTGGTGTGTTCGGGGTGGGAGTGACTCTGTGTTTGGGTAATATACGGTGTGCATTTGGGCAGAGTATGGTGTGCATAAACGAAGATAGGAGAATAGTCGAAAATCAGTAAAAAAAAAAATCTTTATCTTCCTAAAATACTACCTAACAAAATAATAATTAAATCAAATTAAATGTCATCCAAATTACCAACTCACCCTTACATATATAAATGAGAAAAAAACTAATCTTGGTGTGCTTTTGGGTAGGGTATAGTGTGCGTTTGGGTGGTAACCGTGGGAGCAAGAGGTGTTTTCTATGCAACTAGTGTGTTTGGGGGTGGGAGTGATTCTCCGTTTGGGAAAATATAGTGTGCGTATGGGTAGAGCATGGTGTGAGCCGCAAACTGTTCGTAATGGTGTGCATTTGGGAAGGGTACGGTGTGCATTTTGGTGGTGACCATACGAACAGGAGGTGTTTCCTGTGCAACTAGTGTGTTTGGGGTGGGAGTGATTTTCCGGTTGGGAAAATTATAGTGTGCGTTTGGGTAGAGTATGGTGTGCGTCGCAAACTGTTCGTGATGGTGTGCGTTTGGGTAGGGTACGATGTGCGTTTGAGTGGTGACCGTGCGAATAGGATGTGTTTTCTGTTCAACTGGTGTGTTTGGGGTGGGAGTGATTTTCCTTTTGGGAAAAGTATAATGTGCGTTTGGGCGGTGACCATGCGAACGGGTAGTGTTTTCTATGCATCTGGTGTATTCGGGTGGGAGTGAGTCTGCGTTTGGGAAAAGTATGGTGTGTGTTTGGTTACAGTATGGTGTGCGTTTTGTTACAGTATGGTGTGCGTTTGGGTGGTGACCGTGCGAACATGAGATATTTCATGTGCAACGGGTATGTTTGGGGTGGGAGTGAGTCTGTATTTGGGTAAGATATGGTGTGCACTTGGCCAGAGTATAGTGTGCATTTGGCCAGAGTATGGTGTGCATAAACGAAGATAGGAGAATAGTCGAAAATAAATTTAAAAAAATTCTCATCTTCATAAAATACTACTCCTAAATTTATGCTCATATCTCACAAAATAATAATTAAATCAAATTAAATGCAATCCAAATTACCAACTCACCCTTACATAAATGAGAAAAAAAAAAAAAAAAAAAAACTAATCTTGGCCAAAAAAAAAAAAAACTAATCTCCCTTTTAAATATAAAATAATCTCAACCGTGCATCCTAAATAATGGAAAGCTAAGAATGTTTCTTAGGTACTCATATTAAGATGGTTCTTATAGGATTAATGGCATATATATATATATATATATATATATATATATATATATATATATATATATATATAAAAGGGCACGTGCTAATGATAACAAGCACCCAGGAGAGAAATAAGAACCATTTATATTTGTCTACGTGTCCAGATCAACGAATCAAATGTAATTTTAAAAAACGATGTGGTGGCATTTTTGTAAATAACTGAAACTTTGGTGGGAATAAATGTGTTATAAATACAAATAGCTAGTGGACCTTTTGCAAGTAAAAATTGCAAGTAAAATCACTTACAAATGCACCTATTTTCACTTAGAAGTGCAAGTAATTTACCTTGTTAACATTCGTGCACCTAGGTGCAACTAATTATAACGTTAGGTGCACCTAGTTATAACGTTACGTTAGATGCCCTTAGTATTGGTGCTAGTGTAAATTTTACTAGCACCTGTAATATATTTTACATGCACTTGTAATACATTTTACTTGCAATTAGGTGGACCGTGGATTATATGAAACTGCTACTTGCACTTGTAATACCTTTTACTTGCACTTCGATGTTCAATTATTTGCGAAAATGCCACCGCATTTTTAAAAAAAAAAAATTTGTGTTTCTCATCCGTTAGATCTAGACGCGTGAACGGATGTTATGCGTTCTGAGTTCTCTCCTTGACACTCGTTCTCACTTGAGCGTGCCACTATACACACACGGAGGCCTTGTGCTATCGCCCTGATGGCCTGTGCCAGACGTGATGATAAAATTAATTTAAGAGTTTTTAAAAATTAGGTTTAAGATATCATATTTTAATTATTCAATAAGATTTGAAAAGACCTAAGAAAGGAAACACAATGATTTCCCTTGATAACATAGTAAAAAAAATCAGATAATATTAAGTAAGAAAAAGTTACCCATTAGCCTCTTGTTGCAAGTCCCATCCTGAGAATTCTCCAACTTTAGTTAGTGCATCTCTCCAGCTCTTTACCTTTGCTTCTCCGAAACGTCTTTCATGCCTTGCTAAGGCCGTCCCATACTCACCGGTTTGCTTAGACACTTGGGAAGGGTTAACATTATAAAATATAGGAAGTACCACCTGGTTCCTCATCTCCTTGCACTTGAGGATTTCCACAAGTTCATCGAGACACCACCTCGAAGAAGCATAGTCTTTCGAGAATACGATAATGGAAATTCTTGAATTTTGGATTGCTCTCTCAAACTCTGACGAAAGGGTTTCGCCTTTTCTAACTTCTTCCTCGTCTCTGAACGTGTTGATTCCAGCTTGACATAATGCAGAATAAAGATGGTCAGTGAAGTTTTTTCGGGTATCCCCTCGGAAACTTATGTATACATGATATTCCCATGGAGCATGGGAATGGTTAAGGAAGGTGGACTGGGAATTGGAAGAAGATTCAGCTTTTATTTGTGTAGTGGCCATAGACGAAAGAATATATTGGACTATCACGTTATAGATAAGCTTACATACAGAAGTAGATATGAAGAAGCTAGTTACTAACTATACAATAATAATAATAATAATAATGATAATAATATAATAATGATAATAATAATAATAATAACAATAATTGAAAGATGATGAGAGCAACTTGCAACTCATTTCTTCGAATCTTCACTGTTTGTCAGAGAAGCATTGTCTCCATGTCAATCAGTTCAGAAGAAATCTCATGATACAGCTTTTGGAGAAGTATGTAATGCATGCGTATTTTGAATAGTACTTATTTTCTCCAACTTTTCTAAAATCCAAACACTACCAAACAAAATGGTTACGAGTAATTTTTAAAATTCATCAGGCTGTAATTTATTTATTTTGTTTTTACGAATCTAATTTCGAATCATCTTCCACCTACAATTAATCTATATTGCAATTAATTTCAAAATCAGAGGATTTGGAAGAGAATTTTAAATTAAATTCGTAAATATTACAATTAATCTATACCTTACAACTGCAATTTAGACGTATTCAGCAGAATTCGAACAAGAGTAGAAATTAGATTTTTTAGGAGTTTTAATTAATATTTACGAATTAACTCCTCTGCAGAGCAATTAATTCATCAAATTTCAAATTCTCTTCTAATGCGTATTTAAATTCTCTATTAGTATTTAGGAATTAATCGAATTGGTATTCAAATTTAACAGACCAAATTAGTACTAATCTGATTAATTCGTACTAATTGAACATTTGTCTATTAAATTAATACCAATTAATTAGTATCATATTAGCCAAACACTTTATGCTTAGATGGCATGTAGTGACCTCTCCTATGTGAGAGGTCATGAGATTGAGCCTTAATAGTTTTATTAGCATTTAATAAATACTAATTTAAATTATTAAGGGGGTGTATTCAATCAAGATTTTTATAAATTTTTAAAGACGTAAATTTAAATACTAATTTTCTGATTTAATAACGATTTTAAAAGTTTGGTAGTATTTGATCTCACTTTTAAAGACTCTTTAAAAGTTATTCAGTATTCGATTCAGACTTTTAAAAAGTCTTTAAATGTATATTGGTATTTGATTAAGACTTTTATAGAGTTTTTTTAAAAGTCTACTGGTATTCAAAAACTTATTAACTTGCATAGATTCTACCATATTAGAATTCCTATAGAGTTTTCCTTTACAAATATAAATGCTTGAAATCGGACCTCCAACCCGCCCAAACTTTTTAACTTCCTCTCCATACATTTTTTTCCCTATTTAAACTTGACAAACTATTCATCTTTTCATGTCAAATTTTACAATACATTTCATAACTTTAATACATATTCATATACTTTTTATTTTACACATATTTATGCAAACAAATTATATTGGGAAAATGACACTTTTTTCCCCTGAGTTATATACTTATAGTCATTTTTCCCCCTCAATTATTTAGGTAAGCACATTAGCCCCCTCAATTTTTTTAAAAGTGATAATTTTTCTCCCTGATATATTAAATTGACATTTCTACCCTTAAAGTAAACATTTTATTTATTTTACTTCTCCAACAAATTATCGCGTATACGTAGGGATGACCACGGTTCAGATCAAACTGAACCGGACACTATAGCAATTGAATTAAAAGTTTCCAGTTATGATTAAGATCTAGAACCTAATATTTGGATTTCAATTCATTAAAATTATGAATAAAAAAAATTGGATCTTGAACCGTGAATCGGCGGTTCTGGATCCGGTTCGGGATTTTGAACCGTCTTTATTTTAAAATTTTATTTTTTTATTTTAAATAGTCTAAATTCAACAATAAATGTATTTTATTTTTTCAGTTCGGTACATGAATCGTCCGTTTCGGTTCGCGATTTTAATAAACTATAAATATCGAGTTTCGATTCTAAATTGTAATTGAAATATTTCGGTTTGGTTGCTATAGTGTTTGTTTGGTTTGAACCAAATTATTGTCATAATTTGTTAGAGAAGGAAAATAAATTAAATATTTATTTTAAATATTTATTTTAAGGGTAAGTATGTCCATTTAACATTTCAGGGGGAAAAACAGCCACTTAAATAATTCAGGGGGAGAAAGTGCTATAAGTATATAACTTAGGGGGAAGAAGTGCCATTTTCCCAATTATATTTAAAATTTTTGTTGTGAACATCAACAAAATTTTGCTGAGATTCGCAGCAACAAATTATGTTCTTGTGAATTGCAACAACATCTAGTTTTTGTACACAACAATAATACACTATATTTTTGTGGCAAATAATTTTTATATATTTTTATTTTTTTGCAATACGTTAATTTATTTATGATTTATAAAAATATATTATATATTATAAAAAATTTTATTAGAAAATTATAAATAATGTATTAATATAAGTTATTAATAGCTTTTGTAGACTTTTTATAAAGTTGTTAAAAGTTTATAAATGTTATGAAAGTTTAAATAATTCTATAAAAGTATGAAAAGAATTTATAAAAGTAATTTAAAATGTATCACTTTAAAATATTTTGAAAGTATATAAAAATCTTGATTAAATACACCCTTAAATTAGTACTAGATTAATTGGGTGGTACGGTCTTAAATTAATTTACGGAATTCCAAAATCAGAGGAGTCAGAAGAAGATTTGAAATTATGCAATTAATCTATACCTCACATAAATGCAATTTCTACGTACTCCCAAATGCTCTGTCGGGTCGGGGTGTGGGGAGCCTTTAGGGTTGAGGTTCAGCATTTTGGAAGAATTTCGACGTATTCAACAGAATTCGAAGAGGGGTAGAAATTAGATTTTTTTTTTAGAAGTTCCATTATTTACGAATTAACTCCTCTATAGAGCGGCATAGTTGTGTTTCAGGTTCGAATCGCAATATGGGAGCATAGAATCTTTGGAGGAAGTCATGTTTTGTTTGCTGTATTAGCCATTCATTCACCACCATCATTTTATATTTTAAATATTTAAATTAAAAATAATTATGCTCATTTTTTAAAAAAATAAACTAAACACACCAAGACAGTTTTTTAGAATGCAACTAAATACGGAGAAAGAAAATATTTTTTAAAAAATGACTCATTTTTCAGAAATTATTTTCTTACTTTTCTAACACGCCCATAAATTTGAATACACAAGGCAATTTAGTAAATTACTCGTATAAATCCCCATGCATTAATTCCTTGTTATTTCCAATACAATAAATGAACCCTTATAATAAATTATTACGGAGTATTATTTATTCTAAGCATTGTGAAATGAAATCATACAATAAATGAAAACTATCCTTTTCCATTTTGGAAATTATCATCCTAAAAGAATATGCATGTCATACTATAATTATTCTAAGAATGCATTGTTTCTTTTTACTTAAATCAAACTTTTTTGTTGTAGCAAAATTTTACTTTTCTATTCTAAATCTATTTGCTTTAATTAAAATGTACATTTTATTACAAGCTAATATACTATGTTTGTGGCAATTTTCGTATATTTTAAGAATTTAAATATAAAAATTTAATTATCTAATTAATCTTATAGGGGAAAAAATAAAATTTCAAAATATCAATAAGAGTTTACAAGATGAATAGTTCACATATACAAATAATTGAGATCTCAATCATATATACAATAAAAACTTTTGAATTCATATATTATAACTTGATTACATAACTCTTTAATTACTATTCGACAACGTCTGTAAGCCTATTATAATCATGTCATTTTTAACATAGATAAGTTAAGTTTTATTGACTGATGACGATCAATATCGCATTAAAAAGACTTTAAATTATTTTAGTATGAAAATTGTTAGGACATCATTACAACAATACTCATCGTTACTACTACTTTTATTACAAGTTGAAAATACTTATTTTGATTATATTAATAGTAATCATTTTTGTATACTAATTATTTAATATTTAAAAATTATACTAAGTGTTTACTTATTTTTTATTTTTTGGTCAAACCACGAGATGTCCTGAGCGGCAAATTATATCATGCACCGGGCTTCTAAACGACGTCGCTTTGTTTAATGAAAAGAAACGGCACCCGTTTCGCAAAAAGTAACTCTGTAATTCAGTTTTATTTTGTATACACTGTAGTTTCAGTTCAACACAACTACAGTTTCATTTCGATATAACTACAGTTTCATTCGATATTTATACACTCAAATATGTGAAAATATTATTTAATTTTATTTTATATACACTATAGTTTCATTAAAACACAACTACATGATCATTTCGATATAACTACAAGTTCATTGCACAATATACACTCAAATATGTGAAATGTTATTCAGTTTCATTTTATATACTCTGCAGTTTCATTTTAACACAACTACAATATCATTTTGATATAACTACAGTTTCGCTGGGTAATATACACTCAAATATGTGTTTCATTTTGTGTACACTGCAGTTTCATTTCAACACAACTACAGTTTCATTTTGTGTCAGTTTAGATATACTATAGAACATGCGCTCTCCGTTAACTGTAGCGGCGTGCCGTTTCTTTACTTAAAGAAACGGCGTTGGTTTTGGACCACAGTCTACAGTGACCGGGCCAATTAAGAGGCAAAATGCTGATCAATTTGACTTTCTATCCTAGAAGTTAAAACTCATGACCTCTCTTAAAACAAAAGTGCACGACCATTCACACAAATCAAACTGATTAATATTTACTCATTAATTTCATATTAGACATTAATTTAATCTCGCAACAACCGTTCAAAGTTCTCCCTATGCAACGCCAGTGGAGATCTGCCCCACCTTCCCACAACCATCGCCATAAGATGCAGCGCCGGTCGACCACATCGTTATCTACGTCTCGACCAACGCACATCTCCGAGCAACGCGACACCAAATTATTAATAATATTCTACGTTTGGTAGGGTTTTCTTGACAGGAAATGAGGACATAATCATTAAGCTTGAGATGACAGAGGTGTACGGTAGGATAGGGCCGGCGCTTGGCTTTTCTTGACAGGGAATGAGGACATCATCCTTTAAACGCAAGTGTGCCTTTCGTGAAGGACGAAGTTTCCTTGTCGTTTCTACCAAATGGGCATGTGAAGAAGGGTTGTCTTAATCTAACTAGAGGTCATACAGGATCCTATTTACCTTTTAACTTCCAACTTCACTTTAATTTTGCCCCAAATACATGAAAAAATAAAAAGATTTATTCAAGAAATTTTCTCATCCTTTAGATTATCCAAATTAAAATATCTACATCTGGCATTTGCCGACAGTGTCTTCTTTTTTACTTCTTGGGATGTCCTATTTGCCATCATGAATAATTGTAGCAAATGACAAGGATAGAATTTATTGTATTGGTGAAAGATGTTTTAATAGATAATTTGTCCGGTAGCCAATTACTATATAATGTAATGACACATCTGTTATCATTCTAAATGAGTGGTTTCAGTGGTGTGGTCATTGATTTTTTAGATTGAAAAAGATTAAGAAAATATAAAACATATACTATCTTGTAAAGACAGTCAAAAAGAAGAATTTTGATTCAAAAGAGATGGTTTGACTATAATATTCACCAAATGGGAGTTATAGCATATACAAAAGATTTGACAACTAGAATAGTCAGACCTATGACACCCATCAAAAGAGTTTAATTAATTAAAATTGAAGATATTCATATCTAAAAGAGGTATATATTCAAAAGATATCACTCAACGAAAGAGACTTTTAGTCAAAAGAAGTCGAGGCTGGAGAAATACATCATTATACCTAGGTTGAGTAATAATGTTAACAAAAGACTTCATACTAGTAGAAAAAGGTTTTTCACCAAAAGGCTCATTTTGGTGTTTCAGAATCAAAATATTACAAGGTGAGAGTTGCTTTCCTTCCGCTAGCAATCTTAGCAAGGTGTGTAGTATATGAGTAAATGTTATACGGAGTAATAATTAAATATTTTAATCATTTTATTTAAAATATTTATAATAATCTTGAAAATAATGTTATTTAATGTGAAGCTTTCTGCTAATTAACCTCACCTTCCTAGGCCAGAGACTTGTTCTTCCAATACCATTTTGGGTATGAGAAATTCCACACTCATGAAAACCAAAAATCACCAGTAATGGAGGACGGAAAAGCTCACACAATTGCTATTTCTCTTGTCGTTGTCGCTCGCCTGATTCTGAAGCTCATCGGCACTTTCTACTTCTTATGTGGGACGGACATCGCATTTAATTTTTTATAAATTCTTCTTTTAATTTTTAAAAATAATAAATAAAATAATTTTTTTATATATAATTCGACATTATGACATTATATTTAAGAAAAATTTGGAAGTGACATGTAAAAAAAATGCTATTTGCACTTCTTTCTATTTTTTTTTTTTAGTTTTTAATGGTTAATTGTACATATTTTTTGTTCAATGTCAATTGCATAATGTGTAAAATTTCAGCGATCTATTTGACAATTTTATATTCCGTGACTAAATATGTAACGATTAATCATTTAAACATACAAATACATGACAAAAAAAATGTGTACCATCCAATTAATCATTTTTGTACCATAATTGTACAACAACTTGGTCACATAATTGTACTTATTTGTAACAACAAATATTGACTCAAAAAATAGTTATTATTGACTAACAAACGGGTAATAGTTTGTTACTTTGTTCTACTAACATCATGGTTACAAATATTGTATTTATTTGTGGGGAAAATGGCACTTTTTCCCCCTGAGTTATATACTTATAGTACTTTTTCCCCCTCAATTATTTAAGTGGCTCTTTTCCCCCCTAAAATGTTAAATGGACATATTTACCCTTAAAATAAATATTTAAAATAAATATTTCATTTATTTTTCTTCTCCAACAAATTATTACTATAATTTGGTTCAAACCAAACAGATACTATAGCAACCAAACCAAAATATTCCAATTACAATTTAGAATCAAAACGCGATATTTAGAGTTTATTAAAATCGCAAATCGAAATGGCCGGTTCATGTTCCGAACTGAAAAAATAAAATACATTTATTGTTGAATTTAGACTATTTTAAAATAAAATTTAAAATAAAAACGGTTCAAAATCGCGAACCGGATCCGGAACCGCCGGTTCACGGTTCATGATCCAGTTTTTTTGGTTCATAAATTTAATAAATTGAAATCTAAATATTGGATTCTAGATCTGAATCATATCCGAAAACTTTTAATTCGATTGCTATAGTGTCCGGTTCAGTTCGAACCGAACCGTGGTCATTGCTACATATACACAATAATTTGTTGGAGAAATAAAATAAATAAAATGTTTACTTTAAGGGTAGAAATGTCAATCTAATATATCAAGGGGGAAAAACCACCACTTTTAAAATAATTGAGGGGGCTAATGTGCTTACATAAATAATTGAGGGGGAAAAAGTGCTATAAGTATATAACTTAGGGGGAAAAAGTGCCATTTTCCCTTTATTTGTGACAAATTTGTTAACTCTTGAACAATTATTCAAAAGTAGGGATTTTTTTTTAGGAAAAACGGGGGACCCAAACTAAGCGTCTAGCCTAGCTCTCTTGGCTTCCACATAGAAACATCATTCGCATTTTATCCCACTCAACGTGCCCAACCACCTCGGTGAGGGTTTCCATAATCTCGATACAGTCGTATCTCCTTCTCGTCGCACGCTTCACAAGCCAATCAACCACGGTATTAAACTCCCTTGGAGCATGAGACACTTTCACCTCCCAATCGATCGTTATACACTGCACAACGGCACGCGCAGCACTGTACGTCCGCGCCTCCCAAAACGATGTCGTTTTGGGAGGCGCGGAAGGGAGTTGACGTGATTGTGTGTATCTGTTTATATCATTATGTGTACTTATTTATACAATTATGTGTATTTTTTATACAGTTATGTATATTTGTTTATACAATTATATAAAACGACGTCGTTTTGCATTAAAACGCACAATGCAATGCGCGCCCTAGTGCACGATATAAATTGCCTTTCACCTCCCATTCCCTTGTTATCCAATTCTTACACTCGTGAATAACGTAACTCCACTAATCAGGCCCATCGCCTCTAGGTACTTGTTAAACCAATATAATCCACCACCTCCTGCAAATCACAAAGGAACCAAACCTTTTTCTCTCCCATCTCCCAAGCCCATTTAAGTAGGGATTGATTTTATCCACCCATTTAAATATATCAATGGTTAAAGGTTGTTGAAAAATAAGAAAAGTTGTTTTTATAAATATTGAAAACTTAAAAGTTTTCAATAATTATAAAATTGACTTTATATTTTATAAATGGCATGGTTCTGGAACAGATTGGAGCCATTAAATGAGCTCAGATCAATGGTAGGAAATCAGTAAAAATAGAAAAAAATACAATGAAATTTTGATAAATTCAATGATATGGTACATTTAGATATGCCTGGTGGTGCATTTAGATATGCTTCATAGTGCTTTGTGTTCGATACACCATCCAACATTCTCGTGTGCACAACAGACTAATACTTAGCGCACTACAAACCAGCATTTAGTGGTGCACCACAGACCAGGACTTAGAGCACCATGAAAACAAATGTTTTTTTTTTGCAAAAAATTACCAAAATGTCACCATATTTTTTCTCATTTTCATTGATTTACAATCGTTGATTTGGGATCATCCAACGGTCCAGATGCGTTTGCACCATCGCACGGGAGGAAGCTGCTGAATCTGATCTAGTTTATATATATATATATATATATATATATATATATATATATATATATATATAAAGTTGTACAATTAATCATTTAAACATACAAATAGATGAGCTAGTGACAAATAAATTTGTACAAATTAATCATTTTTGTGACAACACCTTGGTCACATAATTTTTCTTATTTGTAACAACAGATATTCACTCACAAATAGTTATTAGTGACTAATTAACAAACTGGTAATAGTTTGTTATTTTTGTTCTACTAACATCATGATTACAAATATTATATTTATTTGTGACGAAATTGTCAACTCCTAAACAATTATTCAATAGTGGAGATTAATTTGAGTCATTCATGCATCTAGTATATCAATGGTTGAAGGTTGCCAGGGCCTTTGCACAGGGCCCCCAATTTTTGGGGACCCATATTTAAAAAGAAAAAATTACAGTATATATAGTGATCACTGATCAGCGCAATTTTAATTTCGAAATTAGAACCCTATTAATTAGTCTATTACCTAACTGACTAATAACCGTAGTCTGTAGCTCGATCAACCCTCCAGTCCCTCCTCAACGCATTGACACAACTGTGCAAGCGGCAAGCCTAATTAATTGGCGATTTGGGGTTTTCTTGCATCGAAGTGATTGAATAGCAGTATAGCAGCAACACTACACCGTCTACAGTCTAGTAGTCTACACAGCCCCACTTCAACTTTCAATATTATTTTGTTTTGTTTTTTTTTTTTTTAAGAAAATATTATTTTGTTAATTTGTCATTTGTAGTTTGATCAACAATTCAATATTAGAATAGTTGTATTTGTTGTACTTCAGTACTTGATATCAATTTTTGGTTGATTTTAATATCAAGCTTTTATTATTTCTTAAAAAAATAAAATTGACACAAATCTCGTTGGGTAGGCAGAACGCAATTGACACAAACAGCAAACGACAATCAAATGATTGATTCTTCAATTCTCTTAACATGTAATTAAAATTACGTATTATTTCACAATTCTTATTTATTGTTTTATTTACATGACTTAATAATTCTGATTTTAGAATAATATATTCAAGAATTTGTTTTTTGATTAATTATTTATTCATAGAGTTTTTAAATAAATTCTTTTTTTTCTTAGGATTTTATAATTATGTCTTCTAAAAAATATTAATTTGGATTTGAGAAGCGTAAAAAGAATTGAAGAATTGAGCAATTAACTCAATCTCAGAAGGGTACTCTTAAATTTACTGTGACAATGAAAATAATAAGAATGTTGATAGTTGTTTAGATGATATTGGTCACAATGATAAACTAAATATTTTGCTTTTACTTGACATATATGATCCAAGAAATTGGGATGTCCTATATTATAAATTAATAGATATTCTTGTGAAAGATAGGTCATAAAAGAGATTTATCAATAAATAAAGGTCCTAAAGATAAATTATCTAGAAGATTTTCGTCGGCATTTTACAATTGATTAGCTTTAATCTCCATTGAAGATGAGATTTTGGAAGAAGTTGATATCAAAAGTTTGGTAGATGATTTTGTGTCTAAATGAGCACGACGCATGTCACATTTTAAATGAAATTTTAAATGCATTTTTTATACAATTTGAATTTTTGACATAATATTTTGAAGAACTATTATTTGTATATAGAAATTACTTGAGAAAAGGAGCCCAAATTTAAATATTGCACAGGACCCCAATATTTATTGAAATGGCCGTGAAGGTTGCTAAAAAATAAGTGAAAAAAATGGAGTTCTTTTTATAAATATTGAAAACTTGAGAATTTTTAATAATTATAAAATTGATATCATTTTTTTTTTTATAGAAATGCTCAACCATTGATGAGGCCTGATAGCGCCTGAGATTAATCCTCACTTTTTACATTAAGACCTTGTTTTTAATTATATATATAATATATATAAAATAAAATAGTGAAGACTCTTAAGTAGATTGTGTGCACAAATACTTGTTCGCACGTTCTCACCTGAAGTCCAAAGCTTTGAGCTTTATGCACATTGTCTTTGTGAGAATCTTATACGAAACATTACATAGCCCAATCGGCCTGTACTGGGTGACCTACTCTGGATTTTCCACCTTTGAATTGGTATCAAGGATATAATAGTATCATTGCACCCATTTGAAAGGCCTCCAGACTCAAAGAAATCCTGGGCAAACTTGACAGTAGTATCCTTCACATGACTCCATGCTAATTGATAGAACTTAGCATGGAAGCCATCAGGGCCGGGAGCTTTGAAAGCGGCCATATCAAAAGTGGCTTGCTCTATTTCCAAAGCCGACACTGGTCTGTTAATGATTCTCCAATCTTTAGTCTGTAGCAATGGGAACGTGCGAGCGCAAGTAGTCTAATTTCTAAACCTTTCTTCTTCAGTAAAAAGATGTTCATAATAATTGCAGATGCCGCATGATAGTAACGTGATAGCGACGTCATTTCACCACTACGTCATCATTGTTGATGTGTTTGATTATTATTTTTAATATTGTCTCTTGTCTCTATGCATGTGACTTTTAAGTTTCAACAACACTACAACGGTTAAAAACCTTGTTTATATGCGTGACCTTTAACAACACTCGTTTCAACTACATTCAATAGACCACGATTTTCTATGCGCGGAACTTATAACAACACTGGCTTTAATAACAGAAATTTTACTCCTATGACAACCGTTGTCTATTTGCATTTTTCTTGTAGTAGAGTCCACTCCTTCTCTGTGTATTCATCACCTTATTGATTAATATATTTTGTGGTTGTGTTGGCTTAAAAAAAAATAGGTACAAAATAAGAATTTTGCAAATCTTTTCTTTATATAGGGATTAAAAATAATTAACGCTGCAAATAATAGAAGATAAATAACCTCAATAAGAGGGACCATGACATAATCTAACTAAAATAGTTCATATTGCGGACTAAGGCTATAGGATTCAAATTTGAAGAATCCTCCCCCATTGCTATGTCCACGTATTTTAATATCAAGATATGCATACTTTTGAGAAGTTTTAATTATTAAATCATCACCCTCAAAATCTGCATTACTGACATATAATGCATGCACTCCTACTTTCTTCACTGAAATGGCATCATCAACATCAATCACATCGATTTTCATATTTTTTGCGCCTTCTATTTCTATCTTGTCAACCATTCCTAGCGATGCAAGGCGATCCAATGTAAGATAGCATGTTGAAGAAATTGGTCCATTGGGTTTTAGCATGCAACTTCCACTATTGCGGCACTCGCACAGGAGTAAACCAGTAAAATCACTTTTAAAATAATGCCGCGGAAAGTACTCGGAGGTTGGTTCCCACACTAGCCAAAGGATGAGCACTAGAATTTCCAATTTACTATCATGCCGCCTATTGTATAACGGCAATTGGAAAGATATGGAAGATCCCACCTCCTGAAAGCTAAACCAACTTGGAATCTCATTGTCAGTATAGGCTACTTTGAGTTTCAAGTTCTCAAGATGGTGGCAATGAAGTTCAGCTTGCCGCTGTAGCATATATGCAATAAATAAATTAATTAAACCATATATATATATGTGTGTGTGTGTGACTTTAATGAAGGGTGTGATTATATTAAAAATAATAATACAGTACTTCAGTTAGAGCTGGCCAAAGTCCGGCCGGTCCTAGGCCTCGGCCAGCACAGCTCGGGACCGGCCTATAGTATTCAGGGCCGGTCCCGGGCTTCTTGTGAGCCGATCCGGGTTAGGCCCGTAATTTATTATATTATTCGTCGGTCCCGGACTTTTTGTGAGCCAATCCGGGCTAAGCCCGTAATTTATTATATTATTTATTTTGTTTTAAATATATAAATTTTTATATAAATTAATATATTTTTGTTTGAAATGAAATTTGAACTTTTAATCTCTTAATCTTAACTACCAACTTAAGTTCTTTCCAATTAAGCTATTACAACCTCTTGATACATTAATAATAATTAATGTATATATACACATTACACACAATCACAAACTTTTCTAAAATTAATATTTTTGTTATTAATCTCAAAATTTAAAATTAACATGATTTTCTACTAAATTAAAATTTATAAATGACATTAAATTAATTTGAACTTGTAGTCTTGTACTATTAAAACTTTATATAAGACTTATTGACTTGATATTATTTGATAACTTATAAATATTATAAAATGTAGTATAGTTTATAAAGTTCATTTGATTTTTACTCACTAAATTATGCTAGATGATAAATTAAAAATTTATAAAAGACTTTTAAATTGGGTTTACTTTTAATTTATGGAGAATTGTTGTGAGTAGAAGTAAGAAAGTGTCGGATTAAGAATTTTTGTGTGATAAAAATAAATTGGATAAGAGTATTTATAGGGTAAAATGGTAAATAAAAAGAAAAAAAAAAAAAACAAAAAAATTTAGCCGTGCCCGAGAGGTGAGAATAGGAGTAGCCTCTACCGGAGGCCAAGCCTAGTCTAGCCTCCGACAGAGGCTACATGCAACGGCCAAATATATTTGGCCGTTGCACGTTGCAGGGATGAGTAGTAAGTAATAAGTCTAGCTGCCATAATCAAAATTACTATTTTTTTTTTAGAATTTTAGGCATTTAGCATGGAAGCAAAGCTGACATGCTTTGCTGCCATGGCTGTGTTTCAATACTGAAAATAATGGAATTTCCGACCACCTGAAAGTGATCTTAAATCAGGTAGAAAGCCTTGTTCCGACCACTTTTGGTATCCGGAAAAACCTTTGTTGCTATTTTCGACTACTTTTTTGTTTCAACTTGATTTAAGATCACTTTCAGGTGGTCGGAAATTTCATAATTTCCAGTAGTGTTTGCCCGGGCCTGGGGCATGGGACGATTCCGTGCTGGGCCTCGATTTTTTTTTAAAAGAATCTGAACCGGCTCTTAACAAGGCGGTTTCGGTTCGAGCTAAACCCGGCTCAGGCCCAGTGAGGCTCAGACCCATTATTTCTGGGTCGATTCAGGATTGGTTCGAGCTTGAACTGTCCCGTGCCCACCTCTAACTACAACAGTGTAGGCCAGGGGAGGAGGGAGAGAGAGAGAGAGAGAGAGCTAGAGAGGTACCTTAAAGAAGCTTTCTGTAAAAGGATTTCTGACGTTATCACACTTTATTAAACTGATCTCTTCTATAGAATCAAGACTGTCCAAACCATCAACCTCTACCAGCTTTTTGCAACCAAAAAGATCCAACTCCTCTAACCATTTCAAATTTGAAAAGTCTGGTAGCTTTTGTAATGACCCACAGAGACGTGCACGAAGAATCCTAAGACTAGTAGGAAGTGGTGGCAGCATTTCAATGTTATTGCAGCAATCCAATTGGATACATTCAAGTCCAGTGAACTGGCAAAGGTTGAAGGGAGGCAAACAATGAAAGTGGCTCCCGCTTAGTTCAAGTGATTTTAGTGAGGATAAACTCTCTAAACCAATAGCAATATGTGACTCTACCAGATTGTGGCCTCCAATTTCTAATGTGTTCAAGGAGCATAAACTTGTTAACGAAGTTGGGAGATATAAAGTACCACCAGAACTCCTGATACGTGAAAAGTGACTTGCGTACAACCTGTTTAGAGATGTTAATCTTCCTAGTTCTTCAGGCAACCTTAATTTTGGGCAAGTATCTACACTTAATGTGTTCAATGATTTCAACCCGAAAAAACTCTTTGGAAGCTTCTTCAATTTGCCACACAAATCAAAAAGTACCACATTTAGTTTACCCAAGTCTCCAATTGAAGAATGCACATCTACCAATCTTGAGCATCCATAAAATGATAACCTCTCCAGAAGTTGTGCACCACTGAAGTTAGGACTTCTTGTAAGATGCTCGGAACCACTAAAACTCAGAAACTTCATAGATGGAAAGTACTGTTTGAATTTTTTCAACAAAATAAATTCTAATTAGGAATTTTTCTCCCATAATTCTCAAGTGCTAAGAAAATTCCAAGAAAAAATTGCAATTCTAATGAAATATTTACCTTCAAAGGGGCTCGGAATTCTTCAATGTTGCTATACTCTATGCTAAGAATAACAAGATTTTCAGAACGAAAATCAGATGGTATATATTTTGAACCACAATAATCCAGTTGCAACCATCTCAACTTCCTGGATAAATATTTAAAACTTCCATGCAACTGTAAATGATTTATTCGGAGCATTCTTAGATTCATCATATTTTTAAATACTTTCGTGTCAACACTCATATTCTGAATGGACTCATTTAGCACTATTCCTTCAACTTTTGCCGTACCCTACACAATTAAGTAACATGGTTATAGATACATCAAAATATTGTTATACACACAATACGAAAAAACTTTACGATTTCACCCTAACTTTTGTATTTAATTAGTACTTTTTTTGTTATTACAAAGGAAGGGATATCCACATATATCACTACAATCGCACCACAAGGTCCTAGGTTATTTAATTAATACTTGATGCACTTATATCCACTTGCCTTTATATCATTAAGTTAGTAAATTAGTAAATAATAGGTACATGATACAACTTTATTGAGTATGTGTGTGCACAAATTCTTATGTTCATACAATTACACAATAAGATAGGTTCTCACCTGAATATATATATATATATGTGTGTGTGTGTGTGTGTGTGTGAAGAGAGGCGGAGTATATGCAACACCGTACCATACAAATTTCCAAGTAATGGATAATTGATTATTTGGTCACTGCTCCACTTAAAACGGAATAAATCTTTATCCATCTCCTCAATGAAACCAAACCAAAAAAAAAAAAAAACAGTATTCTTGGTGTTTTTAAAAAATAAATGAAAATTTCTGGGAGAAGCCAATATAATCTTACACAGAACTGAAAGAGAAAGTAAAAGAGGAGAAATTACCGTGTGGTTTAGAAGCACTTCACGAATGTCATTAGGGCAGCACAATCTACTTCGCTCACCTGGATTGTTTGGTGATTCTGAATGAACAATTTGCCTTCCCATTTCACGAATTAAGCTGTGCATCCTTAGATTATCAAGTGTATCTATGGATATCAATGACTTGTGAATCAAATCTTGAATTTCCAAGTGTGGGAAGTACCCAGGGACCTCAAGTATGCTAATAGCAATGTTTTTCTGAATTTCTTCAGGGAAACAACAAGCCATATCAAGGAAAACATCCTGAGTAAATTTGCTACAAAGTCCATCAAAGCTGATTTTAAGCTTTTCGTGAACCTTATTAGAAGGAATTTTCTTCAACCTCTCAATGGCACTTCTCCAATCTTCTTTTTGTTTGTCAGACAAATGAGCCCCCAATACTTGAAGAGCTAAGGGAAGCCCTTCACAGTATCTTACAATATCCTTTGAAAGCTTTGTGTAATCTTCTGGGGGTTCTGATAATTTAAAAGTGTGCAAGCTAAAGAGTTGCAAAGAATCCTTTTCATTCAATTCTTTAACCATATAGCACTCCTCTCCTTTCAAATCTTTTAGTATACGCTTGTCTCTGGTTGTCAAAATAACTCTACTTCCAGCACCAAACCAATTTCTTTCTCCAACTAAAGCATCCAGTTCATCCAGATCTTCCAAATCATCAAGTACAATGAGGGATTTTCTTGCATGAAGCATTTTTTTTATCAACATGATTCCTTGATCAACATTGCTAACTTTGATCTCCCTTGATAGTAGCTGTCTAAGAAGTTCTTGTTGTAATGCAATTATCTTGTTATTATCTTCACCTAAAACACTTGATCTTATTTCAAGAAAACAACTACTGTCAAAGTATTCAAAAATGTTATTATAAACTGCTTTGACCAGTGTTGTTTTCCCAATGCCTCCCATACCGTAGATTCCTATCAACCGAACATCATCACCAATATCATTACACATTAACCGAAGAATGTGTCTAACGCGGGAGAATAATCCTACTGGATACTTGGCAACAAACAACGGCACTCGTTCTACAATTGACAATACCTCTCTGATAATTGCATCAATAAATTTTGTTTCATACCTATAAATATTTGATGCAAAATGAAACATCATTATTGCGTTTTTGGAAATATATTTGTAACAAAAGAAAACATCAAAATCATATTCTAAATTGCTAAATAGTCCAAAAATAGGTTGAATGGTCAATAATGTGCTCTATGAGATTGAACTCATTCAATATTAAACTTTTCATTCAAAATATGTTATTATATTATAATAATATAATGTTTAAATCGCTGCAATTAAACTCTTGAACTTAATAAAAAAAAAAAAGACTTACAATTAAATCTTTGAGGCACCAGGACTATGTGGTCTAATGGTATCCGGGTTGGACTTCCATTTGGAAGATTATGAGTTCAAGCCTCAGTGGAGGCGTTATTGGTTCTTTGTGTTTCAGTGGAGGCGTTACTACAATGTAATAGAGCCAGTAACTTTCAAAAAAAAAAAAAATCTAGACTCATGTACTAACATGGATGGTTCATCTAGCACCATGAATTAAAATATAGTTCATCTAGGCTATTATACTCTCAATTATTTTTCATCTAGCATTTTTAGCAAGTTTCTAACAAGTAACCCATCTAATTTGCTTACATGAAAAAATAAAATAAAAACAAAATGCTGACATGTTATTTTTTTCATCTAACTTGCTATTTTTGTCACTTTTTCAACAGAACAAATCAACTTTTTTTTTACGTATTTCCAGATTATGTTGATTTCTTCAATGAATTTTTCAGAAAAACAGTGAATCTATTTTTCCCGTCGGCTGTGAAATAAGTATGTTAGCTCTTGTGGTTTTTGAACCCATTTATTGGCATTGGTTTTTATTTTGATTTTGGTTGGTGCGTTTATGAGGTTCTTCAGTACACACCTGAGATTGAGGAGCTTGGAAAAAAACTGGTTAATAGACTAAGGGACAATGATGATCTGTATATTGCTCTTCATTTGAGGTATAATAACTAACATGACTTTTGAGTTTTGATTTAATGTTTGAGGTGTAACTTAATTAACCGACTTCCTTTGAGTGTAGATACGAAAGAACATGCTTGTGTTTACTGGCTGCAGCTACAATCTGACTGAAGCAAAAGCTAAGGAACTTCGCATTATGAGGTATAATGTGCAGCACTGGAAAGAGAAAGAGATAGACAACAAAGAAAGTGTTGAAAAAATAGCATAAAATGACAATTTTAGTAGCTATTTTGTGGTACAATTATTAGTGGGGTTCACT